AACATTTCGATATTTTTAAGCAATAGCAGATTTTGTTATTATAATAATAAGTACAAGCTTATTCTATAGCTTTTAAATGATTGTTTTGAATAATAAAGCTTTCCATTATTATTATTAAAAGTAAATTCTATAAGGTAGGATAAGTCCATTGTTTCTATAATCCATTTATAGATATCCTAATATAATTTATATATGATATTATATTTATTCCTTTAATAACAGTACTCTTCTTGAAGTACAAAGTATTCTACTGAGATATTTTAAAAGGTACTTGCTTTAGGCTTTATAGACTTAAGTATTAGCTTTTTAAAGGATTGTAATAGAGTTATTTTAATATTTCTTTCTGAATTCTTTTATTGAGATTGTTTATAAGTATTAAGATTAGCAAAATATTTTGCATTATTATTTAAATTATATTTTCTTATGAGATCGATAATCGTAATAAGCTTAGATGGGTTTTTAGTAAATCAGTCTTTTTTGTCAATAGGGATCAACTGGTAAAGAGTTTTTCTATCTTTCAAGGATTCTCTGGAACTGATCGGAGTGATCGAAATGGTCTTGGAATCAGATAGTTTGATGTTCTTTTAGATACCTTTCGATATATAGAGGTGTTGTAGATTCAGAAACCATTTTGACCAATGTTCATGAGTAATGAGTCTGGTGATTTCTGAGGAATTGAATTTAGATATAACGAGTTTGTAAAGATGAATAAGAAAGAGTATATATGAATCAGAGTGATCAAAAGATGTATATGAATAATAAGGGCATAGTATGAGTACCAACCAGGCTTATAACTATTACAGAGATAATAGCTATATCTAATAATTACTTTGATTAGGAGATAGGTATATAAAGTGATAATAAACTAGATTGACTTAAAGTGTGATTATAAGAATCATATTTGCTTTATATACCCTGATTAGATGATGGAGTTGCTTAATTAAGTATATAGGGTACACAAATGAACTGAGTGAAATAGTTTTAGTAATTATGGGAATGAGTACTCCGGAGGAGTACTAGGATTAATACCGTAGGGTTACACTATACGGTGAATTCCGTGACAAAGGTACTAAAATCAAGTTTGTTAAAAAGAATAAGATTCTGATCTTCAAATTATTTAGTTAATTGATTAGTATTTCTATTTTTCTTCGAAAAAGGATTTTATTATGGATGATGAGAATTAAAGTTGTCTAAGAAAATGATTTCTTATATAATTATTAAATTATATAAGTATTTTTCAATTATAAAGCTTTTTTCTTTAGCTTGATGAATTTTATTATAAATATTAATTATTTAAAAGGTTTTATTTTTATTTCAATAATCGAAGATCTGAATATCAGAATTTTTTAGAGAATCGGGAAAAAGGTTGATTGTGAATTAAAGGGTTTTTGAGATAGATAATAATGTTTGTAGTCAGTATTTGGATGTCATGGTACGGGTAAAGACTTATATTGTACTATAAGAGTAGAAGAGCTATGGAAAAGTGAAGCCCTACTTATAGAAAGTAGGGCGTGCTAGTATTCTATGCCTGAGACACGAAGGCAACTACAGATCATGTAGTTGGCGCCGTGATATTGGAATCGAATCTCGAAAGTGTTTATATGAAATTAGAGTGTATAATCGATCTTGTATTTGAATAATCATTTCCATTTTTGATAATACAAGGTTCTTAAATAATAATAAGATTGATATTGAGTTCTATTACAAGCTATAAAATGTTCTTTATAGCTTGTGAATTCCGATTAAAATTTATTTGAATGATTTGAATATTGATATGATTCATTAATAAGTATTGTTCGATTTTTGTTGAATAGCCTGATAGGTTTTGTATGTTTTGAATTTGCTGTATAATTCCCTTAGCAGTTCGAGTATTTTGCTGTTAAGTGTTGATAGAACTTTTCTTTAATATTATATATTATATACAAATATACTAATGTAATATACTTGTTTTTATATAAACTATAAAAAGGGTTTTTTCTATAATAAGCATTTTGATATCCAAACCCTTAACACTTTTGATATTATATAGTTGATTTCGATTTATAGAAGTTTTCTATTCTTATACTATTTCCAGCAATATATAATCGTTTTTGAATAGCTAATTCTGCTTCTGATTTTGTAGCAAAAGTAATAACTATAGCTCCCTCTTATTGATAAGCTCTTTTGGAAGCTGATGTAAATCAAAAGAGGGTTCCGATTAATTTGAAATCTGGATTAAAGGTTTTGATTTCCTTTAAAATAAAATCTATTTCTTTCAATCCTGAGAATTCTCTTATTAGGATTTTGTGGATAATAACTTTATATTATACTTAATCCTTTTGAATCCTCTCGAATTTAATAATATTATTCCAAATAGTTTTCTTTTCTAAAAGGAATTGTAATATAAAGAGATTGTTTGCTATAATAATGATATTGTTATTAAAGAATAGAGTAGTTACTATAATAACTGGCCCTTTAATTCCATTTTTTTGAAAGGCTTTGTTTATTTTGTTTCGAATAGTTAAGGAGAAGAAGAAAGTAGAGTTTGGGATTTCTAGTTTGATTAGGATTAGACATTTTTGAGTGATTTTAATCTTTTTGTTTATTGGAATAGATTTAATAGCTTTTCCTTTATTGATTAAATTCCATTCTTTTTCTTTTACTATAATTGTAAAAGTTGATTTAATTGGTATTATAGTAATTGGGATTGGGTTTTTGGTTAGTGTTTTAGCTTGGGATTCGATTTTTCGTATAGCTGATTCGAGGTGAGTAATTTAGGATATAATAATATTGAAGACTATAGTGAGCTTTTCTTTTTTGATATATTCTTTAAAGATCTCTAAGAGATTTAATAGCTTTAATTGCTTATTATATAATTGAGAAAGAATTGAGATTAGTATTATAAAATCTCTTGCTTTTAGGATTACTTTCTTTAATATAATTATTTTGTTTTGTATTCTAAATTGTTTATTCTAATTGCTAAAGAGTATTATAGAATATTGTTTTTTATTCTAATTAAATATATAAATAATATTAATTGTATTTTGAGTAATAAAGAGGTTATTAAGTAGATTGAACTTTTTAATTCTTTTTTTAGAATTGATTAGCTGATTGATTAGTAAATAGAGCTAGAGATTTCGAATTGAGGGTTTTCAGAAGATAAGGGAGGGTTTGAAGGTATTGGGATATTTAGAATAATAATAGGATAGTATTTGATATAATAGAGGCTTTAGAAGAAGTTTTTATTATAATTATATCCCTAAGTGTTAATGGATTATTAAGATAATTTATATTAAGAGTTTTATTCTTATTTGATAATTTGAAATAAAAATTTTATGCGAATTTTTGTATATGTTTTGTGTTTGGAATGCCGATAATAATATTATAACAATTACTAGTTAGAATTATTTGGGGGTAATTGCAATCAATTTGGTTTAATAACTATGATCTAAATCGATCGCGAAAGAGTCGTATTTCGAAGAAAAAGTTTGGGGAGTACAAAGTATGTGTTTGCATTGAGTATTTTACAAACATTTTTAAAATTTGAGGGGGCCCTCTCTACTGAGTCTACAGATATAGGATATAGAGCTGTAAAAAGAGCGAAAATTTCTCTTTACGATTGTAAAGTCGCTTCAGGCGAAAATTTCAGATTTGCTGGGATATTAAGCGTTCGAACCAGGGGAATTTTCTTGAACGAGAGGTGGAGGATATTGTAGAGAATGGCTTGAAATACTTTACTACTTGGGCATTCTCAAAGTAGGCGTGGAGGCAAAGATTATATCTTGAAGGAGATCAGACTTTCAATCCGAATATACTTTGTGGAAAGTATTCGCATATTTGTATTTACTAATAGAGAACCTGATCGATTCCTAGTTTTTTGAAATCTGAATAAACGAGCAGTACACTATAGCTACAGGCTCGGTGCTCGCTATAAAGTTTAATAACTAGTTCGAGGAATTTTACATGATTATTATAAATGAGTTTGTACACAGTTTATTTTATTTCATTTTTTTTTTCAAGATTCTCTAGTGAAATTAGAATGGAGTCTGTAATCTCGATAGTTTATATACTTATAGTCGATCTTTCCAGTATTCATGATAACGAAGTAGGAACTTGGTACAATACTAATTGAGGTCTGGGGATAATTTCGTTGGGCAAGTTGATATTGTTTAAAATGATGGGGAGGGATGGTTTTGAAGTCCTTGAATGTCAGTAAATTGGCAGCACCAGATTTTTACTTGATATCAGGCTCTTAATATCTTGTCTTGAGAGGATCGGGAAAGCTTAGATTGACCTGATATAGAGTTCGAAATATTTAAACTTAGACAAAGTTGTTGCGCACTTGGGTATGTGAATATCATCGAGAAAATCGACAATTCGTTTGCAATAACTGTGCTGTGGAAGAGAATTGTTCAGAAAGTATAAACACCTCGTGGAAGGAAGTCAACCAGGTTGCTAATTATTCGATACTCACCAGACAAGGACCTAGACATGAGAGAGCTAGAGAAGGATATCGAACTGTTTAGTCTATATACTCGATTTCTTTATGATTTCAAAAGCCTCCTTACGTAAACTCAATACTGAGAGAACCTCTTGCCCGAATGACATATTTCTCATACCCAAGATATTCGCTGTAAGATTTTCACAATTGCATTTAGAAAAGACAAGTCTTTCTGTGTTCATTTAGTATGCAGCATATAAGATTCCTTGGTTAGGGTTCTAGCTAAAAAGGGCCTAGAGCCTGGATACATGCTGTGAACTTGCGAGCGAACCAAAAGAGTGGAATCTAAGGTTCCACGACCTTCTCAAACAATACTTTACCAAATTTCTGAGATGGAACAAGACTCAGATAGTGTCGAGGCAGAACAAATGACAGATGTGGAGTCCAGAACTAACAAAGCCATCCGTCGAACACTCCTCATACCATCCCTTCGTTCTCTTCACTGACACCTAAACTGAGAACTGATTAAAAGTTAGCTTTGGGGAAAAAAAGGTACCTAGGCAAGATTTTCTTACATTGCTTAACATTCGTTCCAGTACCAGTTCTCGCCTTCATCCTCACATTGCTGCTTGAATTTTTCAACGTTGCCACCATAGGGGTCGCAGTAGTATTCGGCCCAGTGAGAACAGTAACAATCGTCCTCCTGAAGATTGTTACAAATCTTGTGGGTGACTTGCCACATCTCATCTACTGATTTGTCGGGATTCTTGCATCTATAGGCGTTGTCTCCGCAGGCGTATACAGTAGTGGTAGCAAGGAGGAATCCGAAATAGATGAGCTTCATAGTGAAAATTGTTGGGAGGGATTTTTTGTTCGATGTTGGGGAGATGTAATGCTTGTATGAATATCTGTTGAGATTTGAAGATGTGAGAGTTAGATGATGATTGATGGTTGTGATATGATGATCTAGGAAAGGGCTATTTATACACAGAGTATTTTGGCAAAAATGAAGCTCTAGGAGGTAAAATTTACTATGACGTCGTTATTTGCTGGCACTCTCACTCTGGCTCCAAGACAAGTCGCTGGTAAGACACGATGTGCATGGCGATAATCTTATTTTCTGCTGTTTGCCGATAATTTCAACTACCTCTGTCAAATTAAACTATTAGCAGCAAGTAGGACAGTAGAGCGATTATCGTTTCCATTTGTAGACCCGTGATCATCTATGCATATGCATAGTTAGTCTATGTACCCCACAAAAATGGTTCAGCTAACTACATAACAGCCCCTTGCAGTGCCGATACCTGTCGCATTGTCTCCCATCAGCTACGCCATTCACGTTGGCCTACAACCACATCACACCTGATATGTCACCAAGATCAAAGTTAGACTACCGAGTCTCCATGTGGATGGGGAAAACCCACACGCCTAACCACTCAAAACCAAAAACCTATCAAAGACACTTGTACTTTAATACTGTATAATATTATGAATAATGGACCAGATACGATAAATTTTACATGTACGTTAAATTGATTATTTCTAAAAGATTGTGTTTAATTTTCAATTCGAAATATTCCTGAATTGATTTTGTGAATAACTTTGAAAAGGGAGTACCTTTTGGGTGTGCCATTTTTCTGCCCACATGGAGCGAGTTTAATTCTCTCGATATACGTACAATATTACATGATCGTTAGCTTCCACCGCACTCGGTAAGCCTGACGGGACATCGCGCTAATTATAAACCTACTTTGTATGACATCGATCTACAGATGGACTGTGGTACACATTACTAAATCAGTAGCCTACTCTATACTATCTCTTACTATATTTCGAAAGCTTTTCCTCATATTGTGTCAGCATTATGTCAGTGAATACTTCACCCCGAGAATAATGATGCTGTGAAATGCGGAGTATACTTTGCTTAAGAATGATGTGTTGTGAAACAAACATCGAGATCTCTACGAAGTAACGTTGCATTGAATTTTATTTCAGCTGGTACCGGGAAGATATGTATTCCCAAGAAGCGAGATGATAGTGCGTGGTATTATCTCGTATTCCCATTAGGAAATCGTGCTTTGGTGGACTTGTCTCCCGTTATGTCGATCACCACATCATTTTTGGTGTAATGGAAGACAAGTTATTGCTCGAAGAATGTATACGAAAGTATACATTTAGTGCATGGAAATTTCCGTCCTCATGATGTTCCTGTCCTGCCTATACTCGCTTTCACTTGGATCAACACTCGTCGAAAATGGAATTCCGATTTTTTCCATCTTCTTTATTTTAGAATCATTTTTATCGAGGCAAGAGGTCAAAGTTAATAGGAATGTCTTATAGCAAAGCACGTCCATAGTCCCTAAGAATGATAGTAGTTGAATGTCTCTTGATCATCCACATGATAGTCGGAATTGCATTTCGGATTCTTTGATACTCTACGCTTCTAGGGGCTCTGGGATCATAAGATTTCCATCGTCATAAGTTAGAGTGATGATCAGATGTGATTATAAATACGGTCAACAAAAAATTTAATGAAGTTCACAAACAATATAAATTCACTTCTTACAAAGCTGATGTTCAAATCAAATGAATGATATCGATTCAAGAATCTTGATACTCAAATAGGCATACAACTGAACCTCCATTGTGACCATAAACCTCCCCTCTGGCTGATAGACTCTTATGGAGCTTGGTGAGGAGTTACCTCAAAGTCCATCGCGGGCAATCTACCAAAGCAAAATACAAAAATGCCACTATTTCTGCATCGCAACTTCCATCACTCCATCGAAGGACATAGAAGAATAAGAAGGAAGACAAGTTGTACGACCTATTCTCCCTACAAATCATTAGATTGAAGTCTCAGTCCCTGGTATCCAACTCTCTTGGCTGTATGTTCATGATCGCCTCTGAGTCCATCCCATGCAACTCTTTTAGCTTCTCTTGGTCCTTGATATCTAACTCTTGGAGCCTCAGGTCTAGCGTTCAATGCATCATATCGAACTCTCTTAGGTTCCGCCGACCACTTGCAGAAGTTGATGTTCAACAAAGTTCCATCAGCGACCCACTGACCGCCATCCCAGCCATTGTAGCAACTTTCCACAACTTGAGAAAAGGCAACAACACAGGCTTGTTTGGAACCGAAATTAGCAACCTTGCCAATGTTGGCGGTGTTTCCGCTTCGATCGTTATAGTCGATCCAGTCTCCAACAAGCTTGTTCCAGTTCTCATGACAGTAGTCGTCGGCAAATTTTGATAACTCGTCTTTGTGAACGCACTTTACTTTGTGGGCGCCCTCAGCATGGTTGTAGCATTGACCTGCTAGTACAGTCGAGGCAAGAGCTAAAACGCTGGAAATTCTCGAAAAATGCATGGTATAATGTGGGTTTTGTACTGAGCTGTAGGAGTCAGTAATTTCTACTTCTCTCAGCTTGCAAGTAAAGGGAGAGTTACTGGTTGGTTTTTGTCTTGAAAGAATTTTGCTTCAATTCCAAAGAAGGATCTGGTTCAAGTATATATGTATGATGGGGCAAGATTTGATGGAAGATACAGTCATTTGTAGGTTGGTTACTATGTCATGGTGTAGCGGGATGTAACGAAGTATGGAGATATTGATGCAATATCTACTAGCTACATATGCCGGTGTAGCATCACGGATCTACCGAGAGAATCAGAAAATTGATCATCTTTCTGCTCCACCATGTGAAGTGATACACTACACAAGCACCCGACAAATGGCAAATTTGTATTACTTGATTTCTAAAATGCACAGATTGACTAGGCCCTTGCGTTGGGGATGGAAATCTCCATAGCACTCCGCATAAATACGAAATTTTGGAGGAACCAGATGCAAAACCATCCCAGAAAAAGTTAAATGCATGGCATTTTATGGATGTAAAAGAGCTAGTAGTTCAGGTAATGTTCTGTAGTGTAAGCGAGCTAACGAAAACTTTAATACTGTCAGCCAGCCACTCCTCAATGATCTGCACGATATCTCGATATTTGATGAATTTGAGGCTTTATTTTTTAAACTGCGATGCGGCGTCAGGGATCTAGCTAAATGTCAAAATACAGATCTAGCGGCTGACTGACGCTAAATGGATGACTTTAAAGTAGAGGTGTAACTTTTAGAGGCGTCGGAAGGCGCAAATGGCGCCGCCGATATGAAACATACTCGTAAGGTGATTGAAAAATTTAAAAAGACAAGCCGTTTAGTTAACTTGATATAAGTGAGGAAAATCTTGGTACTGCCTGCTCGAATTCATGCTCCACAAAATAGTTTCCATACACTTTGAGGCGTACTAAAAACTTTTGGAGCTAAAATTGTAGTATTAGACTGGTCTCGCATTGATCTTTAAGCCAGTAAAAAAATATTAGGGTGGTTGGAGGCTTATCGTTGCCAATGGGAGAGATGAAAATAACGAAATGTCATCTCACCAGGATGCCAATGCCACTGATTGTGTATAGCTGTGCTATGTGTCCGTGATGTCGTGAAGTTCGAATGAGGTAAATTGAGATTTTGCTCTTCTCAACGTGTGCATTATCTTCAGCTGAATTAACTACTAAGAATTAAAGTCACACCCAGCATTACTTTAAAGTCTACCTCAAGAATGAAAACATTGCTCTACTAAAATCGATATTGAAACACACACTTTTCCAAACCTCGATTATATTAAAAGCGGTAAACAATGCCAAGCAGCGAAAACACACTGTACTCACAGGGAGTCAACTTTGGAAGCTTTGTCCAAGAAGGTGTTGATGCTCGAACCGGACAATATACCTCCTCCATCGCCTTGTATGAGGCCCCGGCCAAAGCCCGTAACTGTGCACCATTCAAGCTATCTCTTCGGTTTAGCCCCTTGAACACTGCAAACATTGGCTTCGGCAAGGGTTGGTCATTGAATCTTTCTCAGTACCAGCACATTGCACCACGTAGCCTTATACTCTCTACTGGAGAACACTACCAGGTCTCCAACAGTGGAGGTCTACTTGTCGAGGACCAAAAGCTGAAAAGCTTCAAGTTTCAGCAGAAAGGTTCCGATTTCGAGATTATCCACAAGGACGGAAAAATTGAACTTCTTTCCAACGCTCACAACGTCTATAACACGAATGTCCCTGTCAAAATTTACGCAGCCAATGGGCGCGCATTGACTCTTGTCTGGATTCCAATTAATGGCCAACCAAGACTGAGCAAAGTACAAGATGGCGACGAGATTTTGCTACAGATCAACTATCGAGATCCGCACGTGGAGATTGTTCATTCTCCAGGGGCTCCAAGCCCCTCTACCTTCACTGCAGTAATCAGAGGAGGTCAGCTACAGGAGTTTTGGCTGCCTTTGACAGATGGTGCAAAATGGAAGTTTGCTTACATTGCTTATGGGCCGCTCATTTGTCTGTCCAACATCCGCAGTCCATTGGGATTGGTGGAAGAGGTCACATATAATTCATCTGGGTTTAAAGTGCCACCAGGAGGCCCCTATGAGTCCATTCCAGTTGTCAGACAGCACATCATCAAGCCTGGAAACCAACAGCCTGCTATCAAAATGCTCTACGACTACGGCACTAACAACTTCCTCGGGTACGGAGCCGTTGATCATTGGAAATATGGCGAGGACAATCTCTACCGCGTGAGAGACAACTACACATACACTGCTACTGTATCCGTCGATGGTGGTCAAAAGACCAAATATACCTACAACAAATTTCACTTAATCGTTGAGACTAAGCGAGACCTAAATGGAAAGCAGATTACGCAAACTGTTGAATACTATGTCAAACCAAATGTTGCATTAGTGCATCAGCCACCACAGTTCCAACTACCAAAAAGCGTTTAAAACAACATACTGTGATTTGGCCAACCCATCGTTGTTTCGGGATGAGATAACTTCTCATGAGTTTGACGAATGGGGCAACCCTACTTCGGACACTCAGATAGATGGCGTCAAGACAACGCGTGCTTATTATCTGCCAAATGGGGAGACCAGTAAATGTCCTGCTGACCCTCATGGTTTTCAACGCTATTTAAAAGAGCAAACTATCACCCCTCCCAAGAAGCCTGGCCAGGCTCCTGTGCGGACTACACGCCACACCTATAGAGAGCTTCCTACAGCTCAGGGTGCGCCAAACCCCTCCTTTGTTCTACTCCAACAGTCTCAATCTTTCGCGGATAACGGCCCATGTAACTGCAGTATTGACAGGACATATGTTAGCCAGCTAGATGAAAGAGACCATGGCCGTTATAAGCAGCAGACGTCAATGTTGTATGATAAAAGTCCCATGGTACAATCCTGGACCTACCAGTACGAAGCCGATCGATTTAGTGAGACAACGCAGCTTCAGAGCTTCGATAATTTCCAAGTGAAAAACAAAACCATTTTTTCTATGGCTGAAGGACGAATTATGAGCCATGTAGATGAAGCCGGCATTGAGACTCAATTTACATACGATCAGATTGGTCGACAAATCAATACTACAACTTCTCCAGGCACTGTATATGAAGCAACAGAGATTCATGAATATGCCTTTTTGGGCGATACAGCAGGTTGCAGTCTCACTGTAACTGATGCCAAGGGAGTGAAGACCCGATCTACCACCGACGGTTTGCAGAGAGTTTGCCAAGTAGAGAGGCAAGACGATGACGGAGAATGGAAGCTTGATGCCTACACAGGAACGTTCCGCACTGTACAGGAGCAAAGTTACAACGCACTTGGACAATGCATTAGAATGACGGATATCGACTGGTTAAGGGCTTCGGACGGGCCCAAGAAACAGTCCGCCAGTCATGACTATGAATATGATGACTGGGGATATATGTGCAAGGTGACTGATAGTAATGGCGTTATTACTTTGGCAGTGACAGATCCAATTGAGCAGACTTACACGGAGGGAATCAAGGCTCAGGGCAAAAGAAGGCCTCCTTCGAGTCTCAAGATTATCTTATCCAGACAGCACTTTTTAATGCAAATGGTAGCATGTATAGCAATGTTACCTACACCAATGATGGTCTAGGGAGAACAATTCAAGAGAAAGACAGTCTTGACAATACCAGCCAGTACACCTACGATTGCTTCAATCGTGTGAGCCATACAACCTGGCAGGATAATCGTTTCGTAAATACCCAGTACGCAGCTCATACTACTGATCCTCTCCCTGAATCTATCCAGGTATCAGGTATTTTTCTTGGCCAACAGCCTTTCGACGGGCTAAGCCGTGCAAAAAGTCGGCAAATAGCTAATCGTCAAACTCTTCTGTCCTATGAAGGTAGCTCGCCTCAGCCTAGCGATATCACGACTCCTAAGAACGATAAGCTTCATTTGGACTATGAGAAAGCTTTGAACTATGCTCTGAAGGATTTGGCAACCAGTGATAATCCGTGCAGTTATCAGTACGACCCGAAAACAGCTGAAGTACGGGAGAGCACGAATCCATACTGTACAGAGGAGTTGGATTATCTGCCATCGGGCTTGTTGAAGTCCGAAAGCATAACTATTGGTCAAGGAATGGAGATGCAGCTTTCGGCTAAGTATTCTTACTCCATGAATGGTAAACTCCAGGACTATACCGACGTTCACGGCCAAGACCAAGTACTAGATTATGATGATTATGGAAGGCTTAAACAGCTATCACAAGGACCAATAACAGTCACACTCAAATACGACGACGCGAACCGCCTTGCACAAAGTATCGTACATGATAACAAGAAGGATACGAGTCTAATGACAGTCTTGGATTACGATGATTTTGGGCGTGAGACCAAGCGTACAGTCTTCCAAGGCCCGACTGTGCTTTATGTCTTAAGCCAGGTGAAATATGATACGGAAAATAGAGTCCAAATCCGTGAATTGAAAGACGGTAGTGGAAACACGATCCGACAAGAAAACTTCCAGTATGACAATATGGGCCGATTGTTTGACTATGAAGTTCAAGGAACCGAACTTCCAATTGATGAACATGGACGTAAAGTGCTCCATCAGGAGTACACATTCACGGAAGTTGGTGGTCTGAAGCAGGTCACTACCCACTTCCAAGATGACAGTCAGAACATTGCTCGCTACACATACTCTGATAACGACCCCTGCCAACTCATTCTTATTTCAAACACGCACCCTGATGAGAAACCACAGGTTAAGCTTGAGTATGATGACAATGGATGTTTGACCCAGGATGAACAGGGCCAGACTCTGGAGTATGACACTTCTGGTACCTTGAAAGCTGTACGCAACGAAGACCAGACGATCTTGTGTCAGTACTACTACGACTCTCATGGCAGATTGCTTACTCAGAAAGTACCTGGCAAACCAGATTATCATCTACATTACCGAGGAGAGATACTAGTTGCTGCTACGAGCGGCGGTGCTAATATTAGCTATGTATCTAGCGGAGACCAACACTGGGGTCAAATACTCCAGGAGAGAGTAACGAGACATCCACCCAGCTCTGGACTTCCGACAATCACCAATCTGTTCTCGCCTGGCTGGACACAAGTGAGCCCTCTCAAATCTATAACCAAGTCTATACACCATACGGTTTCAGCAACGCCCAGTCTGCTATCGGTTGGAACGGACAGTGGCGAGACCCCGTTACTGGCTGGTATCATCTCGGAAACGGATATCGCGTGTATAATCCCGTCCTGATGCGCTTCCATAGTCCAGACTCTTGGAGTCCATTCACTTCCGGCGATATAAATTCCTACGCCTATTGTTATGGTGATCCAATCAACCGCATCGACCCTTCAGGTCACTTTAGCATATTTGGTATCCAGATCACCTGGCGAAATCTGGCCCAAGTTATAGTCGGGTTTGCACTGAGTGTTCTAGCAGGTATTCTCACGGACGGTGCCTCGGTGGCAATCGAAGTCGGCGTGGATCTGGCTGTTGCTGTTGCATCTGATGTTGGAACTGGTGCTGTATACGACGTTGCCGCAGGGAGAATCCCTGATTTGCAGAGCGTTGGTAGCGATTTTAGTTTCGGCGGTATAGGAAATATGGTCAGCAGGGGTCTATCTCGGGGTGCAAATAAGGTTTTCAAGTCAGTTAGTGAGACGCTCGAACAGCTGCTCGCTGGTGCAGAGAAGCTACGCGCGGCAGGCGGTAAACCAGTTATGCCTAGCAAGATTGGCACGGTACACTCCTTCAAAAGATTCAAATTACAAGCGGATCAATTTAGCAAATTCGATTCATGGAACAAAATGAGTGCTGCAGAAAAGAAACTTTTCAACAAAGGTCTAATGGAAATGAAGGGTAGAATCAAGGAGATTGAAAATAGAGAGCCCTGGACGTGGATTCAAGCAAAGGATTTGCCAAATGTGGGAGGCAAAAATGGTCCAGCGTCCGAAAAATTTGTCGATTTTCGTAGGTTGGTCCGGGAGGAGAGACTTTCTCCTAGACAGGCCGCCGATCGAGCAGGTGATATGAACTTTACGAAATTCAGAGGGTCGAAACCGCCACAGTACGAGATCAGGACCTCTCAAGGTGATAGAATCTCGTTTCTGATAGACAAAAAGAGTCGGGAGGTCACTATCCTCCAGGTTGGGGGACATTCTTGAGACGGTAAAGTCAAACCTCTGCCATGCATGGCATACTCAAAACTCGAATAAACGAACTGTTACAAAATACTGCCTTGGCAGTTCCTCTTCGTAGTATCCTTGTCTACTTAGGCAGCGGGAAAATATAGTTTTGTGTTGAGTTTATTCAAATTTGTCATTCATTGGCTCACCTAAGTTGTAAAATGAAATATTTTTGGCTTTATATTGTATGTTCTAATTGAGCCCAATATTCAAACAGATATGAGTTTTTGGACGAATTAAAATCGAAACGAGTAAACTCTTGGGTAAAGTTTGAAATTGATGTGCCAAAAAAGCTGAATCGCAATATGTTATATAATAGGAGGACTACCGCCGTAAATTCGTAATGCCGATAGGGGATGTCAAAATTTCGGTCCCGAACTACCATTTAATATTTGGGGCCGTCCCCGAGAGATCCTCTTTCGATAAGATTGCACAAATCATGAGTTGCATAGATCAAATTAGCACCTCTCAAGCTATCTCATGCGTCAGGCTTTCTAGAATGGATATCGAGATAAGGTTTTGAGGTTTGTAAAAGGTGCTAAGTTTATCCTTGAATGCTTACCCTCGATGATTTTGTAATTATGTATATGATCTCGTACAAATTAGTTGTAACGAAAGTGAAATACATGACTAACACCCTCCCACTCTCCATCGCCCTCCCATCTTGAGTCCCGTTCAAATGGAAAGTCTGTGTACTCAAGTAAAGAGGGAGCTGAAATGTTTTGATGAAAGGTCTCAAACCAAGCCATATACATCATAGAGTTCCAGTAAGTTTGGAAAGGAATAGACCATTCCTATTCCAAAAAGTATTGCTCAAACGGGATCTTCCTAGCCTTTTATTCATCGATATTTCTATATCAGCCACCATAAGGGACGGATGGAGAGGAGGTATTGAGAGACGCCGAAGAGGAGGAGGTATTAAGAGATGCTGGAGAGGTAAGCTTTGCGTAAATAAAACCATGGTCTTGATACTTTTGAATAAACTTATTAATAAAAATAACCCTGATAGGCTACTTGGTAATTGCTTCAGAGGTACCGACAAACGTTCTGGGTTGGATAGGTCCATCATCGAGAGTATAATTCTTGCGTGGTAGTAGTAGGAATTTGGTGTTTACGTCGTTAGCAGACCAACGGATGGATTTCCAATTCGCTGCGTAACCATCATAAAGAGAGACCGCAGCGACTCCTGAGATAAAAGGTTGGGTAACAGTGGAATGAAAATGTAGAACGCAGGAGCTTGTGGAAGATCCAAAGCGTGAAATCATCATCCCTTGCTCACTTGTTATCTACTTATTCAACCCTATCCACCCGCCTTATTTTCATATCGAACTCATTAATAACACCACTCTATATCACAATTCTCGACTCATTTACCTCATTCATCTAACTTGATACCGAGAACTGACACTTATATCTGTCAAACTTGATCCAAGAGCCACAATCACTACATGACTACGCCCAAACCACAAGATTAATGATTTGATGAGCGGGCACTTTAGTACTTCGAATATAGTGAATATCAATTTTGATAACGAAAACATAAACATTAGTTTACATCATACCACGTCAAAGAGACAATCCATATTGATGTGCTGTATAATTAAGAAAATATATAGTATTATCTAAAAATACTCAATATCCTTAATGAGAATAGTGAAATCCTTTATCAATAGTATAAGATTCAAAATGTTGAGTTTTAATATGCTAATTAAGATTATCAATATAAAGGTATTTGTATTTTTGTTTTTTTAATCTTACTTTATTATTATTTTATTTGTAGAAGATAGAAAATAATATAGGGATTTTGAAAAGCTTATGAGATTTTGTAGTTATATTAAAAATTAGAGATGTTATTGTAAAATCAGAATGTATATCTTTTAATGAAATTTGGGAGTTAGTGATATATTTTCGAAACTATCCTTTGGATCTTGCTGCTCGATATTAATAAGGGGATTCTTGGTGTTTGCAAAGTTGGATCAAGATTTGGATAAGCTTGATTCGTTTTTAAATAATCTGATCTTTCATTAAGCCCGTAAGTGGTTCAAAGAGCAATCTAGCAATAATAGCTTGCTCCTCGAGCTTGTACCCAATTGTTGATTTCAGCTTGTATTCCTTGATGTTTTTCATACCATCTCGTTTTCGCAGCTGCTTTAATAGTGGGGTAACCACGTGCTTTGATGTTCCGAACAGACTCTTCACGCTTTTGAATAAGTTGAAGAATATTGGGATCTTAGCTAATCTCAAACTTCTGTATATCTGTTAAGTTTGAAGAGGCTTGTTTATAATGAGATAATTGGCCAACAGTTTTATTGTTTTTATATAAAAAATAATATAATAATATATCTTTATATATATATATATAGTTTCTATATTCATATAGTATACTAAGAGCGAATCACAAGATCACATGATCGTCGCTTAAGAGAGCTCTTAGCCTAGAACGGCCTGAAAATCAATTCTTTATTAGCTCTTTATTAGTTCTTTCAATCCATTCGTAGTAAGATCGACATAGTACTAGCGAAATCGAATAAGGAATAAGAAAGAAAAGCTTTATTTGATGGAATGGCCGGATTAGGAAGAGATCTACGAGAAATAAACGAAAGTGGAAAGCTAGATTAGTAGGAAAAAGCATAAAATAAGGCCTTTTCCCCTCGAATATAGAAAAAGAAAATAAGAATATCATTATCAGAAATAGACAGCAAGTTACGCATAAGGAGTGATATATTGAAATATGTATATCAGATCTATATATCCGGAAAGTCCGAAGAAGGAGTTTTATAGTGGTGTGCACGTGCTATATACGTATTATACATGTGATTTCCAATATCCCCTCTATAATAGGAATCTACTATCTAAATCACATAAACTCTCTATATATACATATTTGTGAAGAGCCTCATTAACTCCTACGATAATGCCAATATTCCAGAATTGCCTGTAATGTCTATATCTTTAGTAGAGTTCGATAGCCCTATAATTTAATATCGTATTGCAATACAAGAATACTCTTATCTGAATTCTATTTTCCCTACCCATATCAGATCGGATCCAATCCATCTAGCAGTTCGAATATCAATCTGTTTTTGTAAAATCCTCTTCGTATATATATCAACAGATTGCTTCAGATTTATTATCTTCGGATTATAGGGTTACCTTTTTAGTATAGTAAACAATCCAAATCCAATCTCATGTGAACAAACCTCCAGCTTATCTATTACCCCACATGGTTTTCTTAAAATGGTTAATTTGGTCAATTTGGTCAATTCATAATAAATTGATCAATTCGACCAATTTGGATAATTTTTGATAAATTCGATAGATCTGGTGAATATAGTGAATCTGATGAACCTGATGAAATTGTTGAAATAGGTGTATTTGGTGATTTTTATCAATTTGATCAATTTGAGTTAAATCAACCAAATCGACCAAGGTGACTAATTTGACCAAATGCAACTATTGACTCTCTTTGACGTATTCGTGTTTAGCATTCCAGATCCAATCCTAGACCTTTCTATAAATTATAAAGCCAGAGTATATAAGCTGTTTTGTAAGAATATTGGCTATCTATTCAGTTTCTGGAATTCATATGACATGTAGTTTTTTAGTATCAACCATGTCTTTTCGAATATATTTATTTTTTTATTTATAATGATTAACATCTAATATCTGACCTCCCTAGGGGTATTCTAGATATACTAAGAAGCAGGCCTACAGACTGCTAGCGTTTCAGCCGCTTATAATAATGTAATATTAGCTAATCAAAAACTTATTGCCTTTGATGTTCCCCTGTTTAGTATTACTTATAACAATCTGTGGCTGTTTTATCTAAGGATTTGTAATCCTGTTTTAGAAAGCCTTGTTTTGTATATTATCCGGATATTAGCGAATGATCAGATCGATTACTGTTGATCAGGAGAATGCTTGGAGTATTTATAGCTAATCGGTATGGGTTTTAGGTTGATTGAGATGGAAAGCTTATTTTCGGGGTATTGAAGCAGATTGGAATTTGTATAGTTTTATATAGTTTGAGTATATCCTAATATAGAATCTGAATCTAATAAGAAGGTTAATAAAGCTATATTATATTTACAAAATACGATTGATATATGCTATTATATTCCATTCGGATTGAAGTCGATTTAATGTAAGTGGTCAGTTATTATATATATGATTATTAATTGAATATTAAAAGAAGTATAGTAGGCTTTTCTTAATCCTGTATATATAGATGTTCATACTATTTTTGTAATTGAATTTGATATAATAGGTTACAAAGTCACTGTATCCGGTTCGCATTATTATGAGTCTGTGTAATACCCTGCAAGGAAGCTTGAAGCTTCCCAATTCCGAGATATTATATATCAATTTCTATATATTATATATTTCAAAGATCAAATCTCTTTTTTTTTTTTATTATCTACTTTCGGAATACCAATATTTAATATATAGGATAGAGTGAGAACTGTTGATTATAGAAAGGCAGGATAGACTAGGGTCAAGTAATCTAGTTGTACCCTAATCAGTAAAACGATCGGTTACCTCGTTGCCCTCAATCTCAATATGCTTAGGGAACTACTTGATTATAATATTATAGTGTTGTATCACTTGATAATACTTGTGATATACTTATTGAGAAGAGACAATAGCACTTCCTTGTATTCCTTAGATTATTAAGATGCTATCAATATATAATCATATTCGTTCCTGGTAGGGACAATCAATAATGCTTAGGAGGCGTTCTAGTCTCCGCCACGCGCCGATCGCCTCAGCGTCAAAAATCTTTTCGAATATAGTATCATCGAATATCGATATGCTTTGCTTTACTATGGAACTTATTCTTTTGCATTCAATCAATTCCATTAACATTATCGTAGTATAAATTATTATTATTATTATTAGTAATTTTCAACCGGGCCGTATAGGCGAACCTCCCAGGGGGCATTACGGTTGGGCTAACTGCGGGATAATCTCTAATTTAC